ATGATAATAATAATAATAATGTCCACATCTTTAATGGAAAACAAAAACTAAACTGAGCAACATAAAGTCATTCATAGCTGCAATTAATAATATACTGCTAAAGAATGGTTTGTGTAAAAGGGTTACCAGACGAAAAACTTTTTTGTTTAAAAAAAAAGGAACATGGTAGCAGAGATTAGTATTGCAAAGATGCATCCAAACAAACAAGAATTTTCAAAAGACTTGTATTTTGGACAGATGAGACCAAAACAGAGGGTTTAGCTATAATTACCATGTTTAGAAAGAAAAAAAAGTGTTTGTTATAATGAGCTTATTTTTCATCTCCACATCCAAGCAAATTCAAAGGATTTGGATATTTTCTMAAGCACGGGCATGCATGCATATTAGGAGCTAAAATCACTTATCCTACACTCTCTTTAACTTTGGATTAATCTTCAATGTCTTGAATTGGACCGTTGGTAAAGTAACTTTGACCTCTTGAGGCATAAGGAGTTTCTTCTCTCACAAGCTTGAGTTGTGTTTCATCTTTTCCGTCCAATCTTTTCCATGGAAGGTTTTTAAACAAACTTCAGAAACAAGTCAGCTGACTCCACTAAGTTAATATTTCAGTAACTAAACTGGAACATTTTGGTCACTCAGTATGTAACAAAGCAGACGTAAAGTAAATTAACTGAACTTCAGCACATAAAGCCACACTCCTCTTGTTTAGATTATGTTTCACTTCTTATATGGTTTGAACAGGAGATTTCTGGTTTTTGTCAACTGCATGCCTTGGATTTAGTCAGACACCCCTTATAAGATTTGTTTTATTTTTCCATAGGTCCAGGGTAAAATACAAAACAACTTTACTGTAAATCACACAAATGCGTGTAAGCCCCTCACCTGATGTGGTACAAGACCCAAAGAMGTGGGAGGTTCATTCATCCTGTCGTCACTGCTGCTGGCCACTGCATAGCCCCTGAAAATGAAGAATAATAAAAAGAAATGTACAAGCTGTCACACACTTTAGTTCTTTGAATAAAGTTGGCTTTAACAACAAGCACTGTCTCACAGTTTGTGATTGTTATGTCAGTCAAAACAGCATGTAACTAAATATGTGTTAAATGTTTTTATTATAAATATTCGTTCAAAAAACACATTCTGATTTATTGTTTAGCCTAAAATTACTCCCTTGGGTGCTATTTTTTGATGCTTTATTGGTACAGGGGTTTTTTTTCTGTCTGGAAACAAGTGTTGATAAATGGCACAGTAAAATAACAATACTGTATACTAGCATCATAAAACAATTAAAAAGTAAAATTAACGGTTCACAAATACTTGAAGATGTGTATATAACCTTTCCAGCCAAATTAAAATTAAGACTATCTTATACTGAGAAATGACAGCACAGTGATTTTGGTCAAACAGTGAAAATTACAGACACAATTTCTTGTAACATCACAAGATGTCATCCTCAGAATATGTGTTGTGAATGACTCTCAGCTACTACCACATCAGTGATGAACTTAATATCTATAAAATTTACTGAGTTATAGCCATTTTGTGTTGGAGAATGTCAATTAGCTGTGGCAGCCATGGAAAACTGGACTGATAGATAATCAGCTGTAACTTCACTTTATGAAAGTTTCATTAAAATCCAGTTAGTGGTTCAAACATAAAGACTTGGTTTGAACCTGAAAATATGAAGAGCTGGTTTGAACTAGTTAATAGCAAAMTCTGTTACAGTTCAGAATATGAGTTGAGGATCAGCCTCAGAAACTACCACACTAAATGTCAAACTGAGTGTTTTATAGATTAAATGTCAGTTGGCTGTGACAACCATCTTAAATATGATAGATTTCTAAATTTAATTAGCTGTAGATGTACATCCTTTCATTATTTTCTGCACATTTCATTAAAATCTGACTTCATGCCCACTGGCTTCTCAATTATTCTGGTTCTCCTAATCCTAAGAGCTTAAATAAAAGTCATCGAGACTTTTTTTTCCGAGTACTTGAAGACTTTCCACCTCTTATGTGAGTCACTGACCAACCTGTCCTCTGTAAGAGTCATTTGGGTCACTGTCGCCTGTAACTAGAGAGGCAGTTTACATCTCTGACCAACATGGAAAGTGTTTTAGTTACCTGTTTTAAGGCGTGAATGGTGAAGAAACCACCTCAGGAACAGAATCAAGGCGACCTTATAAGTGTTGGATAAGTGACACTGGAAGTCATCTCCTCTGTTTAATGCTGGGTTTTCACTTTGAACATGAATGTCTTTTTTCACTCTTTTTTCAAAACCATCTTTCTCCTCTGTCAAAATGCAACTACTGACCTTAAAGTTTTATCCCTTATCATTCTAATAATCTTGAAGTGTGAAGGTTTAACAGAAGCTTTAGACAGTTGAAATGATCTGGTCAGTTAGAACTGAAGAAGACTTTTGGATAAAAAAAATGAAATAATGTCTCAGCATCATTAAAGGGGCTATACCATGTAAAATCAACTTTTTTGAGTTTTATATCAGGTTATAATGTAGTGTCTCATCAAAAACATGTCCAAAGTCTTACTTTGACTCATTCATGCATGTTTGAGAAATCCTGTGCTGTCCTGAGGCAGCAGGCAGGGGAGCAAAAATGATAGGTTGGGACTAGAACTGCCTTTTGGGTCCATCTCCGCCTCTGGTCTGTGTCTCCAAGCTGAGCTTTCTCATCACGGAGCACAACCCACACACCCTGCCCATGACCCCTGCAGGCTCTCGGCAGTAACAAAGCAAACAACGCGTGAAACTGAAAGTGAAAGTGAAACTGTCTGCTGAGCTCCTAACACTACTTCTCACTCAGTGAAGCTCTTTTCAGATTCAAAACACCTTTGAGGAAATGTATTTTCAGATGCCAAGTAAACTTCATCATAGCATGCGTGCGAACCCCCCTCCCCGTGCGCTGAAGTGGGCGGGACAGAAGCAGAAGGTGGTTCTTAAAGAGACAGAGGTCAATTTCAAGGCRTTTAGAAGAGGAAGTGATGAGAAGATAAGTTTATTTTCTATTTAAACATAAAAAACAGCATTTTAATAACAACTAAAGGTGACATAGATACTTTATTATGGTATAGTATTTAAATATATGTCTGAGAAACACATAATATTGGCCCTTTAAAAAAAGTCCAGTTCTGAYGAAGCACTTAGCAGGTTCTCACATGTTTTTTTTTTACATTGTGTACTTCTTGTACTTCGTAATTATGCTCTGCACAGTGGTCGATGACAGAAAACAAAAGCTGTACAGCCTCTTGCTCTTCAGACAACAAGTGAACACACTAGGTGGTCACAATGGGCAGCCAGAAGCTCTCTGCRTGCCACTTGGTTTCATTCGTGACTTCAGATGGAAAAGTAACTGAGCCAAACACTAAGTATCTTCAGATTCAGTTAAATAGAATGTGCTCTAAAAAATTACCACYTAAAACAGTATAAAGGTTGTCTTTTCTAAAGGAAGAAAATATAAACAATTTGACATGGAAGGATTTTAGCCAGTTTAAATCTATTTTTTGAGCATTTTCTGTGAAACGGTGAAAATATTTGCATTTTAATTTAAAAATACTATAACACTTGATAAATAAAGAAACACTTTTAGGTAGCTTCATCATAATTTTTTTTTGACAGATGTTTTTTTACTACAGCACTACAGTCCCCTAAGCAGTCTTCAGTACAAAACCACAAAAGTAAAGTTCTTTTTTGACATCTAAAACACTGTTTTACCATCTTTTCTGACGTTTCTTTTTAAATTGTGATTTCTAGCAAGATGTTGCCCAAATACAAATTCACTTGTAATCAAAATCTGACATGAGTAATTGTGAGCTTAATTATRTATTTGAAAATCTAAGATTTGTTTGCTTGAACAGCAAGGCGTTTAATTATTTCCACGAAAGCCATTACAAACTAGTTGATCGAGCACRTTACAAAGAATTTTGTTCTTTGTGGTCAACAATAATGAAAATATCACTTCTCACACTGGGCTGACAGTGGCTTTACAAAGTCAGAAATGTCTGTCAAACTACTTGAATACCTACATACCAATTATGAAAAGCTCATAGAGCCGAGCGTTGCAGTAAAGGACTTAAAGGCATAATGGCATGGCTGAAGTAGGTCTAAAAGCAAGGAATAAACAGTTATGGAAAGGAAAAAAACTGAATATAAAGAGGAATAAAGCAAAAAAAAAAAAAGGATATAAACAACCTTGAAAACACCAAACACAAAACCTCTCCTCTTTTTTGCACTCTAAGCGTTTTACCCAGGACAGAAAGAACAGCTGTGTAACAGCTTATTGCATCTCAAACACAAATAGCTGTCTTATCACACCCAGSAAGAGCTCTCCTCAGTATAGCTTTCACCAAAACACACACAACTACTGTATATCTCCACAGACACATCAGTACACATGACTACACATTTAACAGGCATGAAAACATCCCCTTCACTGTTTTGAAGAAGATAAACTAGGTGKGGGGAAACATGGAGCAACCACAGATTGCAAGGAGAACTTTACAGTTCACTCAGCCTCGGGATTACAAAGAGCTTTGCCACAAACAAATTGCTGAAAATGCCCACGGTTGCTGCGAAACCTCAGGTGTTGTGCTCCTCTATCCAAAAGACAACGTCTCAGTCACTATTGGGCTTGGAGTGAAGTGTGGACAAGTGCCGTGCCGTTTTTCGACAGCTAATGATGATAAGGGCTACTCCTGAAGGCAGGGAAGTGTCTGACATTTGCAAGGAGCTGGGAAGGAGTTTTAGTTGAAGCAGACTCAGATGTAGAGAAGGTATACAGTGGTGAGACATGGCTTCTTTTTGTGTAATGCTGTGTAGGGAGCAGAAGTGGCACCATTTAAGTGTGCATGTTTGTCTCTCMTGCTAGCAGAATAATCTCGTAGACATATTTTAATGACTTTTTTTTTTTTGGAATGAATCCAAATCAAGATGGCCACTAAAGCTAATTTACCTTAGTGAACAAAAAATGGTTATAACTTCAAATATACACATGTCAACCTAAAGCTTGATGTGGTAGTAGATGAGAATTATCACTAGCRCTAATGCGTTTTGTAAGATCTTAAAATATCACGTGACATCACACATAACTCTGACCCTTCTCATCATAAGATGATCTTAGTTTAAAACTCTAGCATTTCGTCAAAGAATGCTAGGATTTAAAYAAAGCAGGGCATTTACAGAAATGCTTAAGTTAAACTGAATAACTTTTTTCAATACCCTTTTCTAATCCTATCACAATATTTTTTTATACCAACACATCTGCAAACTCCAACTGTAGCGGCAACCTCTTGAACTTCAGCTGGGGGTAGCCAATTATAAAGTAATATAGTAGTGTTATCTTTTATTTAACTTTTGTAGTAGGTGTAGTAATATTATAACTGCTGTATACATAGTTACTTCTTTGAATAAATATAAAGAATAAAGAAATATAATAACAAAAATACTGATCTATATACAAAAACTGTTTTCACTGTTTCAGACCAACATTGCAAATGAGAAAATGTTATTGTTATTAATGTTTTGCCTGGTGAAATAAAGGTTAAATAAAAATAATAAATACAAATTATAAGTAGGGATGGGAATTTTAGGAGAATGGAGAAAAATAATATAGTTGGGTTTTTGTTCAAAAACAATAATACTTTGTCTGATTACATTCATTATTTTTAATACTTAATTTTTAATTTTTGCTCATATCATTTACTACTTTAAATACATTTTACAACCCCACAGACACCCTGTAAATTGACTTATTAGAGAAACTTATCTTTAGCTTGAGTAAAGTTCTTTGAAATATTGTGCCTCAAATTCACGGTCATATCACTGCTATTGCTGCTATTAGTGTGTCTACATAACCGACATACTTACCCTTCAGTGTGTTGTAAGATGGACACCATCAACTCCACAGCTAGAGCCCCAGCAATCATAGCAAGGCCTGGTCTGCTAACTGTGCACTGCTGATCCAAGGTCCGATCCCTGGTAGACTATTTACGAAAAAAGTGCAAAACAAAATAATAAAAACTAAGTGAAAACTGACCAACAGCAAAACAAAAGTGATGTGATAATTAGAAATATTGTGGTGACACAAAACTCGATTTATGAAGTCTGCCAAATTCAGCCAAAATGCTTTTAAATGGGAGGAAATCTTCTCATGTAGATGATGCATATGTCAAAAAGAACTAAAGGCCAAATTCTGGATCACAAACTGGTGACCTCACATTGACTAACATTAGTGTATTTTCAGCTAAGTAGGCTTTTATTGGTATTGCAGTCGTTTCATAAACGGTACCATTACTGTAGCTCTATTATTGACTGCGTGGCCCTCTTTCACAGATTTAGCTGAGAGCAGCTCCAGCCAATATGCAACCATCTGAACTAATAAGTGGCATAGCTAATGGATGAGCTTTTAGTATGTGTGCAAAATTACAATTTCACTAACACGTTTTGAATTGTGAACCAGAGAGTCTGATAAGCGATTCAGCATGAAGAAAAGGTCCAAAGCCCATTTCGTTTCTTTATTCTGACAGCTAATCAAATAAACTGTTGAATATTTGTGACAATATACATTAAAATACACAACAAAAATAACTTCTATCAGCATTATGGTATTGTCATATTTCTTTTTCATTCACCAAACGAACACTCATCTACATTTCAGATTCAGTGAGAGCAGCCTGCGCCTTTAATTTTGATGACAATATTACTGTAATCTGTAACGGTGGGAGGGAGCCAAATGGCATTAATAGATGTAGAGGCTGAATGGAGCAAGTCTCCACCAAATGGCCTTTCAGAGCTGAAAAACATACCTCACTCGTGAAAAGGTAATGAGGGGGAAAAAAGGACAAAAAGGAAAAAAAAAACAAAAAAAACAAAGGCTTTTAGGGGGCATGGGCAGAATGTGGGCGATAGAAAAAGTAGAATTTTCACAAGTGTAGATGCTGCTTCAGTTCCACCGTTTAAACGTCACAATTAAAAATAGGATTTTTTTAATCAACAGCTTTTAGATATTTTAAATCTCATTACTTTATAAAATAAAAAATGTTAAAATAATATATGTGGATAAAATCTGTAATTTAAGTTTGATGCCATAAATATTAAACAGACTGAGGCAGCAAAACAAGCACTAATCAGAGCAAAAATACTTTTTTTTTGTTTTCAGAGCTAAAACGGCTGCAGTCTGTTGTAACCACACACCATGTGGGTCATCAAATCTAAAAAAAAAAGTATATGATCTTTGTTTGAAATGCATGTTTTATGATGTGCGTGCATGTTCGTTGCGTCTTTTCCTCACATCTCCTGGTGCAACGACATCGTTGCAGAAGTAGCAGCCTAGTTTATGACCCGGGATGTTGGAGAACAGGGAGGACCCTTGAACACGAGGAGCAGATCCAGCCGGTGTGGAGGATGAGGAGGAAGCAGAGGAACACGAAGGGGAAGAGTCTGTTTCTGTGGAAACAGTCTGATGGTCCGAAGGTTTCTTAAGGCCATGACGCATCACGACAAACGTGTCAAAGCCTAAGGCAGCGTTCACCACCAGCTGAGTGAAAGAAAGAAAATATTTTAGAAAGCAATCTGTATTCCAGCTGAAAACACACCCAACTTTGAACAGGTTTTAAGATTAGCTAAAAAAAAAAGAGCACAATCACTAAGTGCCAACCAATTGTACAGTGGTTTGCAAAAGTATTCATACCCCTTGAACTTTTCCATATTTTGTCACATTACAACCACAAACATAAATATATTTCACTGGAATTT